ATCGAACTCAGGTTGCTCGAGTATTTTGAATTAAAGGCGAGCGCCCGGACACTGAGCTATCACGGCTATATGCTATGTGGTATAGGATATGTGGTAGCTATTACATTAATAACCTTAAAAGCGGACGCTCGATATGAAGCCTCCGATTCCCATCGAATTGATTAACATTTACTGGACGTCTGTTACGAAACGCATGTTTAAAGACGGCAGGATGTGGTTTGAAACACGCTTGTATAATTTTGCTCTCGTCCGCTCGCAAATGCTACGGATATACGAAACGACTATAAAGTAATGGAGGTGGCATTATGATTTGTTGCCTAGTGGCTGCGATGATACGCGCTGGGATCTTGTTAGAAAACTCTTTTAATTTTGAATTTTTTCATTTATGTAAAATAACATATTATAATATTTTTTTATTTTTGTAAGTATAAAGTTGGCAGCATGTTAAGTGATGGCCCATAGACAATTCCAATGTCTTAGGACGCTAAATTCAGAAGCGTAGCCAACTTCTGAAAAAACTGGAATCTTGACACATCAAACGAAACAGAAAAGCTCCACTATACGCTGGTCTTTTGTGAGGCCGTGGTATTTATTCCTGCCCATGTGTGCACTAGCGGAAACTGTTGTTTGTACCCATTACGTTCTTTATCTTTAATAGCTTGTTACAGCAACAGACTTATTAAATAATAAGTTCCATTATAAAGTGATACTTCTATCTGTATTTGTGTACGTTAAGAATAGCATTTCTTCTTTTATGTGAATAGTTGTCAAGCGAGCAGGCGGACCTGATGTTAAATGATTACCGCCACCCATGGAAATCTGCAACACCCGAGGTCTTATAGATTGACAACATTTTAAAAAGTGGGCCCCGGTGTGTAGTGAGGTATCACTCACCAGATGAAACGCGAAAGTATATACTTCAAGTTCGCGCCGGTCTTCTGTGAGTTCGTGGTACGCTACCCTGCCCATTCATGCAACAGTAGAAGCTGCTGCCTGGAACTACCACAGTTGAAAAGCTTAGTTTGAAGTTAAACATGTGTCTTATGATCTGTGTGTCCTATTTGCGAAGTACATCATAACACTTGTTGAACAATGTTTTCTTCTGTATGTGAATACTTATAGGTGCAAAATAACGGAAGTGGAAACCCTGTTTCCGTCTCTCTCGATAACAGACGATAGTTTTTATGTATTCAAAATGTGAAAATTATTAAAACAATTCTTATTTCATCTACCGCATTCGATCTGTTCGTAGATCTTTGAATATTCCTCGTCCACTTCTTGTACCGGATGCAGGTTTTAGTTTCGCTAAAGTTTAACGCAAAGTGAATAAATAGCGCGCTGACATTCATAACATTATATGTACTAGATTGAAGGTACCGTCTTCGCATATGCAGACAAGTTTAACTTGGGTTACATAAATAATTATAGTCAATGATGTTTAATAATGTAGATGCCGCATGACCATACTGTGCGGCGTTTAAAAATTGTTCCGCTTTACATTAAATTACTTATATAGGTGAATGTGACAGAATAGAATAGAGACATATAGAACGTATGATATGGAAAGAGATAGCAGTCCATATAATTGCAATGCAATGACACCAATTGGTGTCATTTAAGTACCTCAGTTTAGGTGCGCTAGAGTCATATCTCCGAGAAGTATTTAATACTATTAAGTACAAAAAAATTTTCTCAAATTGAACACGTTTTCTTACATTGGAAGAAGGAAGTTTTTTTCATTGACTTTGTTTATAATGTTTAAGAGATTACACACGTTTTATGTAGTATATAAGGATCTTTTTCCAATTTCAACCTTGGCATGATCAAAACTCGTGTTCAGTGTGACAGGAAAACGAGTTTCGTTTTTTGTATGTTTATTTTGCAACAAAAACCGGTACTTATCTCTTTTCAGCATAGTGATATCTATCTCTTTCTAAGGTAAAGTATGTAAAATGTGTATTATTGTTAATGAAAATCATAAGTTATTAATGACAAACGGAAAACCCGTTGGTGTACGCCACTGGAAATTGTTCCCTTCGATAGCGATTTTAATTTTTTTTTAAATAAGATTAAAAATTTAATAAGCTTTAAGTTAGTCCATGACGAAGTTAGATATGAAAAAAATATACACAATTTCAATGCATTTCTGAGTTGCACTTCTTAGATGGATAATAAAGTTCCATAACGCGTTAGTTAAAGTTCACCTTTATTACAAGAGTTCTTTAGCCTTATCAGCTATGGTTTATAACATGAGATTTTTGAATCAAGATAATTTGATTATTTTGAGACATTTCATTTTTTTATCATTCGTGTCTATTGTTCAATGTTTGCAGATGGCTGCACTTTGCAGACTGTATTTTGTTCTAATTTTCTATCCAGGTCTATGCTAACAGAAACGTGTTCCGGACCATAATAATGATGATGATATTATTTGGTGGTGAGACACAAAATATGATGACTGAATCTACGTCTTCAATTGAAGTGACGTTAAAATTGTGAGATATATGCATATGACCCATTTCGGATCCAGGAAGTATCTGTTCTATACGTCGCATGGATCCTACAGATGTACCCTTTTGTATATCTTGTAATGAGTGAGGTCATCTCCCTCTAAAACTGGCAAGACAAACCTAAAGATGTTGCAGATAACAATGATAATTATTTAACCCCTTATAAAACTTTTTAACGCAAAACCGACAGGAGTGTTTGTTTATTTATGTTTAAAGATAATTTTTACCCAATTCAAATTGTTCCCAGAGGTTGAAAGTTATGTAGGAAAGAATTTGGTTTTCGCAAAATAACGGACGCTGCATCCATATAAAATTATTGGTTAATTCGTAAATATTCGATTTTATCGCTCTCCCGGCGTGCCTGCCCATAAATCCATTGCCATGCACAAATTAATTCAGTCAGATATGGTAATCAAGCTTAAATTCTTGAATTAACTGCAAGATTTACCGTTTGTTGTGAAATTAAGAGTAAACGTTTGTGATGAAAGTTCCGGAAGAATGTATAGATCAAACTAAGTGTATATTTAGGGAGGATAGCGTAATAATTAATTTTAATCCAAATTCGTGTTTGTATAATTGTATAGTTATGATAGAAGACGAGTTGTGGAAGAGTCGCCATAACTAGAAATTCTTAATCTCTACAGTAGTACTCTAGAGTCTAGATGACAGACGTGGGGTGTTTACGGGATTCCCGTTTTGTCGTGATTGAGGGTCTTAGTAACCGTCGTCCCCCAAGCCAAGAGGAACCAACACTGGTCTGTGGTATAAGGCAAGAGAGGTGGCGATAAGTGTTCTCTCATTGAGCCCACTAAGCGTTCGATGAAGGTTCGCGGGACGATGGTTGGAAGAGGTGGAACTCCCTTTCATCTGTAACTGAGGTTCGCTGGAGAAGAGGAGTGTTGGTGTTATGTTTTTTTAAATGTTACAGAGTGGCAAACAAGCTGGTGGTTCACCTGGTATTAAGTGATAACCGCTGCTCATTGAAATTTGCAACACCCGTTGCAGAAGCGTTGTCACCTTTAAATAAAGTGGGCCCCGGCTACCTCACTCACTTGCGTCTAGGCGCGGCTGCAAAGCAGCGGTGGTAAGGCCGCGCGGGAGGAGGAGTGTCGGTTTTGTGAGGTGCCATTCTCGCTACCACTCGTGGTGGAAACGTGGTGGAGCGAGTTGCGGTGTTATGGGAAACCGTTTCAAAACCACGCCGGTATGCGTCTTTGGTGGAACATTGTGGAGGTTTTACTGCGAGCCCGCAAAGGCGGGTATCCATTTTCATTTCCCTCACGTAAGCAAAAAGACGTAAAAGTGTTATAACTATTATCCTCATTAAAAATTTTATTATAACACTGAAACAGTTAAACTGTAACTTAAAGTGGAGAAGTCATTTCTAAAGTGATCTATGCGGTCTTGTTACTGAAACCGACGATATAAATATAGGAAACGTGTTTCTTTTAGTTGGACCTTTATAGTCACTAAGTAGATACATGAATTATTCTTCGCAGCAGCAGTTATATAAAATCTATCGATCTCCCAACTATCCGTCAACCGAGGGACCATTTCACAATGCCTCGAATGCATCGAAGTTATCGAAGTTACTGAGCGTGTCATGGAAAAAGTAAACAGTTTCACAATGCCTGCTTGATGAATGTTTTCCCGATGACGCAAATGCTTCGCCGTGACGTAATATTCCAGAACGTTATGACATTATATCTGGAAACTAATCAAATGTTGCGGTCAAACCGATTTGCCAAATTTGTCTTATGGCGCGCGATTTTGAGATATCAAATTCCAATTCAAGTGATAAATCTATCTAAAATTACATATTATCTAATAAACCTAATCCACGCGGCATCGTCCAAGAACGGTAGCTGCATTTCCTCGCTGAATAGTTATACTTAACCTTTGTTATGTTTATTAGATAATATGTTTATTAAATATTAGATCAATAAACTGTATGATATTTAAAAAACGTGATAAGTGGTTCATTCCGTATTAAATCAAGAAGGTCAGTTAATTATTTAAAAACAAACGACTAATTAACTTTGACTCTGTCGCGTTGCGATTGTGTAAGAATTTAACTGTTTCTGCGAATCCCGTCAGGAAGTATATACACCAGAGAAATAATAGGTAAATGCTTATCGAAATTTTATTTCTATACATCAGTCATCATATAATGTTCACTTAATAAATATCGCAAAAAAATATTTTGATATATATGTCGCTGTATAATACACTAGATTAAAGTGTAATCGCCAAAGGTAGAGCCAGATAGGGTAATATCTAATTCTCTAAATAGCAAATACAGCACTTTAAAAATTATGCATGCCGTTCAAAATTCAACGAAAGAGTTGAAAAATTTACAACAGCATGCTCGTCAAAAGAAATCAAAAAAGATGTTAGAAGTAAAAAAAAATATTTGATATGAAAGCTGTCAAATATAACATCTTTGCGACTTTTACTTTATTGCGTAAGCTGAACTCTTTTTCTTACTTACTTGTTCAATTCTTTCAGTTTCGTGGCGGCCTGTATAGTGGCGTAGCCATATCTTGAGAACCTCGACACGTCTTCAGAAGGGGCGTTGAAGGCAGCCACGTAGCGTGCTGGGTTGGTATCGTCTAACCAGAGACCTGAGGCAGTTCATGTTGGTAATTAACTTTGAAGCGAAATCGAAACTTTACATGAATCTTGAACGACCTTAAGATTTAAACCTTTCTCTTTTGTTATATGTTTTATAGGGCAATCTTTTTTAGTTGTTTGTTTGATAAATTTCAATTTTCTTGACCTTATTGAGAACTGTTAGTGTCGTTCTTTGTGGCGTTCTAAGGTGGAGGCCTATGTTCAACAGTGGCCATCTGATGATGATGATGATGATAGAGTACAAACAAAAGGAAGTTGCCCCTTTATTCCCTTAGTAATGTTATTTGTTGTTATTTTTCGGGTTACTATAATATTAATGAAATAAAGTCGCGAAGATAAGCCGTGATAATTTTTGTGACTATTTTATTCTAGTCTACTCCATTCTATTCCCCCAGCTGCGAAAATAAATTCCATTAGGAATCTAAATAACAGTTTAAGCACCAGGTCAGATTGGCTGATTATTAAAAGTAATATTTCCAAATAAATCACTCTTTTCAGCATCCGTTCCCTCCGATACCTATATCCTGCTGATGAGAAATCAATTTAATAAGTCATAAACTTACCCATGGAGTACAACTTCGGTTCTAATACGCTATACAGTTCGTGCATCTTCTGCATCCCGTACTCAGCTGCTTCTAAAACGTCTTTGTCCCCATTAATTGTTGAATTGATTTCGGTTGCGGTGTGCTTATCATCATAATCAGAGCCCTCTTTGTCTATATAGTCAGATTCTAGGTTATCCTGATCAACAATTGGCAGCTCTTTGTTTGTCTCTACATAATCATCGATGGCGTCGTCACCTTCCGTCATATTCATATTCAAGTGATGACTATTTACATCTTTAGTCAAACTCTCCGCGGTCAGATTGTCTTTGTCGCAATATTTAACGACTAACGTCGAGACATTCTTCGTCTCAGACACTGAATGGTTCTTGCTTTGGTTTCTTTCTATTATAGTGACGCTGTGGAGCTCTTTGTTGGATGAACTGTTTAACATTGGCATCAAATGTTTTAGCACCGCTATTATGTTGTGTGGCGACGTGTTGTTGCTCGTTGTGGTATTAGGCTCTATTGTCAATATCTCCACGTAGTTTGTCTTGTTCGTCGTGGGTTGAATGGCATTGGTTGGTTTTGTATTCGAGGGTTTATTTTTGTCCTTTTCCTTTGAGGCATCGTTATAGGTCTGCATGTCAAATTTATCCTCGATGCCACTTTTGATTTGGTTTGTTAAATCCTTATCGCTACTCGCCTTTACTGTGTTATTTTTAGTTTCGGGATATTTTATAATTATAGCTTCGTTGAGCCGACTTTCGTTTACATTTGTATGCGACGATATGTTATTTTTTATTCTATTTATTGATGCGATGATATCGTTGATCAATTCGTATTGAATTGACACGTAGGTGTTATTGTACGTTGTAAAATTCGAAATTGTATTCACTAACAGTTTCGCCCTTTCACCGTCTTTCAAAGGATGTGGACTCTCCGAATATTTCTTTTGAATTCTGAAAATATCTTCAATGATTTTTGTGAAAGGACAACTGTGTGTCGTGTGTTCTATTGCCGGGCTGTTATCTGTTTTTCCATTTACTAGGAGTGGCAGCAGCAGGAAGACGTATTGACATCTAAAATTGCAACAAAAACATTTTAAATGGTAACAAGAATTTGCTCTTTATCAAACGAATACAAAAAGGTTGACAGATGTCTCTTTTTACAATTATCGTAACATTTCAAAGTGCTCAGTGGTTAGAGCATCCAATTTAGCGATCAATACAAGGTGTTTTCATCAAAACATTGATAACAGGATTTTATGGTTGGACAAACGGGTAAAACACCGTCAGTACGTGGTTAATATGTAATTATAACTTTCATTTACACCAGGTAGTTTCACCCCATATCCGCAGGTTTACTGGCACCGGAGAACAACTTTCCCTCTTTCATTGCAAGAGAAAATTTCAGTATTGTTCGCACAAACCTTAGTATATACTATAAATGTAAAATTTGAAATCTGTTACTTGGAACACTAAGTTATTTCACTAACAATCAACTTTTTTTGAATGATTTGTGCAAAGGAACATGATCGAGCAATCCAATATTTTCCAAAAAGCAAGAAGCGTAGTTTGGTGGACTTTATTATACCATTTCAGAAATTATTATTTGCCGTTTTAATAATTCTTATATCATTCAATTAAGGAAGAAGGATTCCCCAAAATCAATGCCTATCACATTTTTAATAAATCTAAGAGAGATTATTTAGTTATGTTAATTTAAGTTGCAATATTTTTCTTGGTTGGTTTCTGTAAATAAAAAAAAAAACAACTGTCACAGTACACTTTTTGTACTGTCAACTCTAAATAAAAAATTAAAAGCTACGAAAACCGTTAGCGGAGGTTCTAGTTGAAACATCTGATTAAATGTGTGTCTGATGAATGGTCAGTACTTCAACCTCACAGAGGACCGGTTTGAAGGGGAATTGTCATACTTCTGCGTTTCGCCTGGTGAGTGAGGTAGCCGGGGCCCACTTTGTTATAAAATGGCGACGCATCTGCAACTCTATGGGTGTTGCAAATATCCAAGGGCGGAGGTTATCACTTAACATCAGGTGAACCGCCACCTCGCTTGGCGCCTTCTCACATAAAAAAATTATCTAAATATCAAAATATCTTCATTCATCGACGCATGCGCATTCTTATGAAACGTTGCATTTTGCATAATAATTAATATATAAATTCGTAAGGTACCACCGGTTCGGAAAGCAGTATCTGTTAAGAAGAGACCGGCAAGAAATACGACAGTTGTTCTTTTTCAAAAATATCAGTATACAATACGAGTATGACATACAGTATAGGAATAATAGTCTTATACGTAATAATAGTACGCCGAGGTTCCGGCTAGGCGCCTCGTGCGCCAGGCCACCTCAAGTCCGTTTGAAGGCCCCTAACAGTGGCTCGTCCAGCCAAAAAAAAAAAAAAAAAAAAAATAGTCTTATTATCTACTAAACTTATCTTTAACGCTTACTGACAGACAATACGTGTTTTATAGCGGTGGTCAGGACGTATCATAACGTTCCATATATTATAAGCTGTTAAGTTATTGCATGGGAGTAATGACTTAGTTATGTAGGCAGTTAAAGTTTCCATCAGTTCACACGGTAAGTTGTATCGTAAAATATTTATTAATTCTCAAACTGTAATTTAATGTGATAACAGGATCCAATGCGGAGGACTCGTCTAACGCGTTTCGCGATATAATTGACCATGATTGTGTGCCTATTTGTGTATGTAGCAAAAACTCGCATCGCACTCACATAACCTGAGTTAGGTACAATGCAAGTGCGTCATCAATCAAACTTCTAATTGCAATGAACACTGATCTATCAATGTGACGGTGGTAAGGCCACGCAACAGTGTTCGCTGTTGCACGAATGGGCATGTTCGTCCGGGTAAGTGCCACGACTGCCGACGGCAGGCGGTTATCACTTAACATCAGGTGTGCCGCCAGCTCGTTTGTCACTTTCTGACACAAAATAAATCAAAAGGAAAAATCACATCCCCTATGCTGTAGGTAGAAATTTAAACGGTAACTGTAATTATTGACCTCATTTGTCTCCATTTGATGGTACGCTTAGGAGTATTTGTTCTTATTCTCCATGCCATCTTGTGTTAAAAGTTCAATTCGCGCCAGGGATATGTAATTTCTTTGGCCTCAATGACCAGTTTCCGATCTAAGTTCCGAAAACGTATGTCCACATGGATATTACTTAACATGTGCGGTTTATCAGCAAGTTCATTTTCTTATACATATATTAAAGAGTTGTATCATTAAAATCACCATTCTAACTGCTATATAACTGCTATAGAGTCCGATTCACTAGTTTTTAAACTGAACAGGAGACTTCATAGGGAGCTGATAATGAAGGCGAAGCTCGTAAAGTAACTGCTATATAACGTAACATATATTAGATTTTATGTAACGTAACGTATATATAGATATATGTATATCGTCGCCGAATTTTCGTGAGTAATGATATAGATCCTAGACTATGTACGTCTAGGATACCATTCTATGAATCATCAATAGTTCAAGTTTAACATATTAAAGGACTGTTTAATTGTGTATTAAAATTATTAATAATCTAACATTCACCTAAAAGTCTCTATTCAGGAATTAATACGTCATAACTATTATAAAATATTCTAAAGAGAAAGGAATTGTCTTTTTGAATTATAGTTTATATTGTTTTTGTTTATTAATACATGAGGTCAAATACTTAATCCATCCCTTTGAAAATTTCAATATTGTGATCAAAGGTGTTTTAAAATCTTACTTATAAAATACGTACGTACGTTACTTATAAAATCTTCAACAAATGTGATGGTGCACTTTAAAGCATTATATTTGACGAATATAAGACAAGTAGAATAAGGTATACAATATGATTAATTACTGTATGATACTGTTTAAACTTATACACTATATGAAATCTGGTTGTTGTATTGAATTTAGATTACATACAAGATTGAGAGTATTCGATTGACGTAAAAATCGGTCCTCGCATTCGGTCTCTCGGGCGCTACAAAGGAACATAGAGGCTTATAAACACATTACCATCCTTGGCGTAACGCATTCGGGTAAAGAGAGTTTGTATCGATATATAAATATATAGCAAAGGAACGATGAAACTGTTTCAACACTAACTGCCGCTTTCAATATCCTATCTGTGGATTTGTTAACTGCAGATAGAATTTAGATATAAATATCATGGAGCTTATGGCAAATACCTATCGCTAGTAAACAAATCTACAGATAGATAGAATATATATACCGGCCGTAAGTAAAGCGATATCTTAGATAAGCAGAAAACGATTAGCCGTTATATAAACAGGATTTTGAGTACCGTTAGCATCACCCAACATTTCAAGATCAAGTTCTTTCAAGGACTGATTTTGTTCGATAAGAATTGAATCCAACGGTCAACGTTACATATCTGTCACGAGTCGACTTTAATCAGATCGAATTAGCAGTTGGTTACGCTACCTTGAGACAAATTCAAACTGACCTGAGCTTCCCCATTTTTCTCGCGAAAACATTTACGTAAACTCAGTATCGTCTGCGCAGGATATTCACTAAAACCGAAAAGCGAAGGAACACTGGCCGAATGCGGAGTTTCTGAGAAAAAAAAAATAAACTTGACAGCGCGTTCGACTTTTGAATTTCGCGCCGGAACACTTTCGGCGCGGCGATATTCAGGCGACCACGATCAGGGTGACCGTTGGGAGCGTCTTCAGTGGCGTGGCGAGGTGCCGCCAGGCGCGGTGGGACTAGCTGTTGCATAACGAGAGGCTGCGGCGCCCGAGTACTGTTAGGGGACCTCGCGCCGTGCGATGATCTCGCCGATCGCGTGCTCGTTCGCGGCGGCGAGCTTTCTGGCCGCGTTCAAACCGCTGCGAACTTGTTTTTTTATGCAAAAGATATTATAAAAATGTTTAAGACCATTGAACTTAAGAAAACGGAAGATCTATGGGGAATGTCCGTTGAAGTGACTGCCTCAATAATAGATTCAATCGCACCTTATTTGTCAATAATTTTTAACAGTAGTGTAGATTCTGGCGTATTCCCTGATCTCATGAAACACAGTAAAGTCATACCTGTATTTAAATCCGGTAGTACTTCGGACCCCACTAATTTTAGACCCATTTCTATACTACCAACACTTAGTAAAATTTTCAAAAAACTTCTTCTAGATCAGCTGTTAACACATTTTAACTTAAATAAATTATTACCTCACAACCAGTTTGGTTTTACAAGGGGTCGTTCTACAACCGATGCTGGTGTAGAGCTGATCAAACATATATTTGAGGCTTGGGAGAGTTCACAGGATGCTTTGGGTGTCTTTTGTGATCTTTCCAAGGCTTTCGATTGCGTGAATCATGAAACACTGATCAGAAAATTGCACCATTATGGCATTAAAAGTACCGCGCTTGACCTCATTAAGTCATATCTATCTAATAGAATTCAAAAAGTTGTAATTAATGGTGCTAGTTCTTCTGGGTCGACGGTATCTATGGGCGTTCCGCAGGGCTCGATTCTCGGCCCATTTCTCTTTCTCATTTACATTAATGATCTTCCTTACTTTGTAGGGAGTAAACACGATATAGTTTTATTTGCCGATGATACATCATTAATTTT